ACCGAAACGATGTCTGTAGGCGATTATTCATAACCATGAAGGCGAGCGCTGCTCCCTTGGCTCGAGCAACACCCAGCTCCGCCGCCAGACAACCCTGCTGCTGACAGGCCACACTCAAAGGCGCCACGCAGCCCAGCTAGCATGGTGTTCTCTTAAAAATGAGGAGAGACAGAATACTTTATTTGCAAGCACACTTTCCATTTTCAAATTATTCAGGAAAATCCTAAGAACTGATAACGGTTAAAAATTTCAACTGCAGCTCTAAGAAAAACAATGCATGTTATGGGACCTGAAAAAAGTGCATGGATCTACAACACTTCCAGATACCAACACAGAGGACATTTTCAATAGCCTCCTATTTCTCACCAAGTCTGCTTTTCCTGGAGGAAACGGCCAAGCGAAGAAAGCTCAACTGAAAGCCCAGTCCCCCACCCCATGTCTCAAAGAATTTGAGAGGCCCATGAATTGGGTCTGTTTTGCATCATCTTCCAAGAAGATGTGTCTGTATAATACATTGTTGAAGCTCTTGTACAAAGTTTAGCCTAGTGTTGGATATGACTCCATACCAGGCTGAAATTCTGCTTTTTTTAAAAAATACATTCAGTTTATTTGAGGATAGCAACATTGCTAATACTCCCTTTGAGTGAGCTCACGTAGGCTGCTCGCCCAGTCAACACTATTTTTTAAGGAAGAGTTTTGAAACTGTGGCTACTATCAGATGAATTGAGCAGACCAGGTGAATCCACACACTTCTCAAGGAGATAAAGGATATATTCCCCCCCTCAATCACTATGCACCTCAGCACAGGTTATCAAACTAGATCAGTGAGGATTGGAGCAAGGTTAAAGAGCGTCATTACTGCAAGACAGACCTCAAAGCAAAAAATCAACCTTGCTGTGTAGGTACATGGGATTTACATACCACGTGTGTTCTAGAGGGGCTTTTACATGATGGGCATCGGACCTTCCTTCTCTTGTATTTAAGAAGCTGTTCTTCCCCCATAAGGTGCCACAGTGCTGCGCTTGTATTTGAAAGCAAATCTAGAACAGATTAAATATAAAAGGGGAAAAAAAGCCCTTCCCTAACAAAGCTGTTTTCAGGTTTGTGTTCTTTTTTTTCTTTTTTCTTTTCATAAATGAGGGGCAGTGATGATGATGGGGATGCAAGAACAGAAAATGGACATCCACAGCTAAAGCTTTGTCAGCTACTGACCTGTGGCATGATGGCAACCCTCTGGAAGACAGACAATGGTGAAACATCATCAGTTATTCATCGGGATAAGGCTTAGATAAAGAAGCGGCATGTAACGCTGCCCAGCAGGTATCCTGGTGAATACATTTCAGGAGCCCTTGCACATGGCATTCTGCCATTAAAAGCCAAGAGATGCCTAGACAAATTCCCCTGGGTCCCTTTGGGGAGGCTGACACTGAATTTGTCAGCCAGAATTTTAGTCATCCACTCAACGGCTGTACTCCAGAAGTGTAAGATGAATAGGTAGCTATGGTGAACTTTGAAGCCTGCAGGTCAAAGTTCTCTCTCATTATCCCCACCATTTTCTATCGGCATAGCTCCTCAGCATCCCAAGGGATGGGAAGTTTTGAGGCTCTTGAAAAAACCTGACATGACCAAGTCAGAAAATGGTAGGGTGCTTATGTACGTATATTTTTCTTTCCCCATTTTCCTTTCCCCCGACTTTCTTGAAAAGAAAGAATATGAATTTAGCTATTGTGTCAAACGTCAACCTGGTGGCATTAGTAGTTACTCATTTAGCTGGCACAATTCAACATGCTGCCCTGCCAAACAGGCCTGACCCTTCCAGGGACACCTCCTCTGTAAGAAAGGTACTAATTTGATTTTTCATTCCCCACCCCAAAACCTTTCATTTTGTAGCCAATCCTTTCAAGGAGGATGACAGGTACTGATTTCTGCAATACAGAAACATTCTCTATATTAAAAACACTGCCTTCATGCCTGAGCCACCACTGAACGCATCTGACAGAGACAATTGATCCACTTCTGGCCAAATCTCAAGCAATATTTAATACAGTGTTCACTATCAGCCATTAAATATTATAAGAGGTTCTTCCAACGCAGGTGTTATGTTCTGACTCAAACCACAGCCAGGAAAGACCAAATTATCTTCTAAATTTACTTCTTCTGCCACCACTAGAGGCCAGCCCACCTTTCGCTTCACAGAATTACAACTGCAAAATCTTGTATAACCAAAATGACTCGCACACTTGAGATAACCCAAATCTAACTAACAGGTCAGATTAGAGCCAGGCTTTTTACAAGTGTAGGAAACCGACTTTAGATGGTTAACAAAAGTTCTTTTCTTCAATGCTATTTTATGGGAAGGTTAGTAGGAATAAGGTACTTATTTTTCAAAACAATGTAAGAAATTATCCCAAACAGCAATGCAAGCACGGTATTAAAAATTCATCAGTTTCCTTGGCTTGCTGTGAAAAAAGCAACAAGCAGTTACAGATAAACAAAAACTAGCAAAACCAAAGCAGAAACACATTATCAGAGTCCTGTTTGGGGGAAACCCCACTCACTTGGCAATACCAAAGAGGAAATTCTGACTTTCCTGCCTACAAAGTTTTGTGCAAACTCTATCGGGAGTGCAATTGACTTCAAGTATCTGGTCCTGCCTCTTCCTCCCACTATGGTTTGCACAGGGCAGAGAAGATGCTACTCACATACTACTGCCTGATAGATGACGAATGCTCTGCAGAGTGTATTAACAATAGTTAATTGACAATAAATAGTCCATTGACAGTATGGAAACATACTGCAGAAGTAGTGCAGTGACTCTTTGAAGGCTAAAGGCAATAGAAATAAGGCATTAAACCAGCATCATTTATAATATAAATCATGTCATAGAAAGATTTTAACACGAATGAGCAGTACTCTAGATGCTCCTAGAGAGTGGATTCAGTAAAGGTGTCTCAAGACGACCCTGAATGAGTACGACATTTTCCCCAGCAGCTTCTTGTCTGCTAGGAGCTGAGCACGGTCCCTCACCACTACCTACCCACATACAGCCAAGGGAAAAGTAGTATGTTACAAACCTTTCCAATCTATGCAAGGAGGTCTGAGCAAATGGAAATATGGAGCTGTGTACCTTTTTCTTGGGGTGGGGGGGCACGGTGGGGGATAGAGGGAAACAATTACAGGCTAGTAATTACTTCTTCTTTAAATGGATTCTCTCTAATCTCTGATGGGTTTACCTCTAATCTCAAAGTAATTACCTCTAATCTCAATGGATTCTCACTCTGGGGGAGACTAAGCAGCTCCAGGGAAGCCTACAGAGAAGTACTCCATTGTCTGCAAGAGGCAATGAAAAAGTAACACGTGCACAACAACTGCCAGGAACAATAGAGCATTTCTACAAAGCAAGGAAGGGACTGGCACGCAGGCAATGGCAGCTTGCCTACTCCTTGCTTGATGACCCAGAGTTGGCCAATACAATCTAAGGGAAACTCATGTGGGAGCTCCATGGGGGCTGCCTCAAAGGCACGCAGTACTCGTGCTTCCTTTCTGTGAGCAATACCAATGTACAATTCAGGTATTTCGGGACTACTTCACGGCAGAATACCCTAAATTTAAAGGCACTAAGAGTGGCCAAAGAGGACAGACAGACTTGTACAGTTTCACAAAAAGGAACAGTGAAAACCTTGCTCCAGAACACAAGGGCTGAGGGACAAGATTTCTGATGGAAAGCAGCAATGCCTTGAAGCTAGTTGTCATCTAACTTACTGAATCATTTTTAAGGGACATGGACATAACATCAGAAACTATAGCAAAGCATTATTATGGCAGGATCTGAGACTGTGAAATCTTGTGTCAAGCCAGAGAAAGTGCTAATATTCAGCAGACAGGGGACAGCAAGTTGGTACAAGCACTGCATCAGTGTGGCCATGCTCCTCAGACATCATCCATCTAAAGCAGAAGTTTCCTGCCAGTTCCACGTGCAGGTCTGTAAGCCCCAGAGCATACCTACAGAAATGCATCTGATCAAAACCTTGATTTTCACTCCCTAATAAAAAATTGCCCACAAGCTTAAAATGACACCAATAGGTTTAGAAACAATTGGCCCTAAAAATGTTACAGCTGGCCACCCTCCGATTTTCGTATGTGGTATGATGATAAAATATAAGACCAGATAAAATTCTAAAGATCTTGGTGAGATCCATGACTCATGGTCCAAAAAACACACCATGTATTTTTGTATTTTACCATTGCCTGTACTACAGAGCAAGCGAAGGAGCTGGGAATCCCCTGCGAGTTTCAAGATCTGGAGTCTCCACATTGGCTTGGTCTTTTGAACTGCTCTGGCATGGAATGAGCTCTGACAAATCTCACCTTTCCTCCTGCTGGCATGGCCGGGGCAGATGGGGTGGGCTAGTTCCCAGCCAGATCACTGTGCGCCTTCCACCCCCAAAACTGTACCTAGGGATTGTGCTACACACACTGAGAAGGACAGACAGGATCCTTGGGCAGAGACAATGATAGATGCCTTAACATGAAAAAGTTTTATGGCACATATTTTAATAGCTATGCTATTTTCAAAAGGCTGCTCAGAATTACTTCTGAATAAACCATAACCACTGCATGCTGACAAATACCAGAAACTTTCCTCACTCTTTACTACATCTAGGACACTTTTTCTTACAAAATGCCCTGTTTTTTTAATCCCGGGATCGACAACAAGTCCATAAAAGCATCAGCACAAAATAAAGGCTTAAACTATTTCAGCTGCCTCCTGGGATGCAAGGGAACTGCAGTTCCAGGGGATTCAAAGGAACTTGACTGTACTTGGACTCACACCAGGGAATTTTATTTCAGATTATGCCTTTTTGAGAGGGAGGGGAATGAAGAGAGACAAACAAGTTCCTCCACCAAAGAGTGCTCAACAAAAACACGTCAAGATGAACTCGTTAACACTGCTTTATCAGGGCCTGACGCTGAACATTCAGAGAGCACAGTGTACTTACATGTAAACTAGGATGGTAGGTCAGCACACCATTGTCGCACAACGTCACATATTTCTTCTTCCACTCTTTATTCAATGACTTGCCACTTCGCTTTAGCAGCATACCCTGTTGGGGGGGGGGGGAAAGATTAAACACTCTTTTGCCAACACACAACTATTTAAGACACAGAAAAAGATAAATATAATTGCCAACATTTTTAGATATGCTTTCTCCTGCAAGTTACTCATTTTCCCCTGCTTCTCCCATGATGCACATTTTCTCCATCGGCAGCTTCAGTCCTTGCAATTCAGGAGGAAAAGCTCTAAGTACGGCTTTCATAAAGCAAGTCACATAAACAGAGAAAGACTGTATCAGCGCTGGCTTTGTCCAACGGGTAGAGGAACCCCTTTTGCACTGAATTCCATGCCTCAGGAAAGCACATTTTAATGTGACACAGAGTAAGGTTACCCATACATGCTCCTGCTTGATAAAGACACCACACTCGTTGCATTTCCTAGCCCTCCGAAATAAATGATGAGACCCAGGCTGAGTGAGGATCCTACTGTGTGGCTTGTGCTCCCTTCAGCGTGTTCCTGGGGATTCCTTGTTGTCCAGACTCAGCCTCTCCACAAGCAGGGAAGAGCACACGTTTATGTTCTCATTCCCTTTGCAGTAAGGTGACACTGCAATGGAAATCCTCCTGGCTATTCATTCCAGCAAAAAAGACATCAATTCCAGGCAAGAGCAGCAAAATGGAAACAGGGCAAATACAAAGTTCTTCCAATAAATTCTGGATAATTTAATGAAAGAGGTGTGATCAAAGAGGAAAGGAGGTGGGCAAGGTGACTCACCTTTCCAGAAATCGTATTCAACCTAAACATCACTGATGAATGCCAACAATCAACAGTTGAGATAAAAAGTCATCATGTGTTTAAATGGACAAGGACTACTACCGCATATTACACCAGTTCTCAGCTTAAAAATAGAAAGTCAATTGGAAAAGCAAAATCTAACATGCTGTAGCACACTGAGGGTGGTACATCAAAACCCATGCTTTAGCAATGCACTTCCTTAGGAAATTTTAATTTCCAAAAACAAGTCAGAAAGCAGTTCCTAATGAGTTCATACAGTACTTTGGTGATTGAAAGTCTTACCGAAATGTCCCGGTGGAGACACTATGTACAGTATGTACCACACGGACTCACTAGTTCCACAGATCAAGTTCAGATAAAAGTGGACACTTATATTTCATTTCATTAAATCATAACTAGGAATCTAAACCAATACAAACTTCAGATCTCTAATCCCCATAAAATGAGTTTTTCCATTCTCGTTTTCCATGGAACTTAACAAATGGGAAAACAGAACAGAGAAAGATGCACTACTAAGCATGGTGTTTCCCATTCCTACGGAGTTGTTTTTGTTAAAGCGGGTTAAAACCTTGAAAGCAAGTTATATGATCTGTTTTTCCATTAAACCTGCAGCTTTATAAAGCGATCTCACTGCAAACCCACTCCCAAAGCCATGAGGGGACAAGGGGCAGTTCTGCGTGAGCAGAAGTCCTCCAGAGCTAGGCAAATTTTTTTCTCCCTCCATTCCAGTTGTTGTAACTTTCTGTTGAAGAGATGTTGAAGTCCCTTACCACAATCCACATGAACTAACAACTCTCCTTTTGCAACTGCAGAGATGATACCAGCGGAAAAGCCAAGTTCACAACTGCCTGTTCCTGGACATGCACTTTGAATAAAACTTCAGAGAACAACGCTTCGTGATTCAAAGCAATCTGTGGATGGGACTGTAAAGAAAAGCTTGTGTCGGATGACTGAATTACACAGTGGTACAAACTCCGAACTTTCTGACCGTCTGGGGGTCAGACTGCTTTTTTTTGTGCTGTTCCTTGCTACAACTCAAACTTTTACAAGAGAGAATGGGGTTTCTGAAACGCTTTCTTACAAAAGCTTCCGCGAGTGCGAGTCGCACATCCCAATTACCGCCTTCCAGTGGTTAGAGACGTTGTTTTCTTCTATTAAAAAATGAAAGCTTGTTTCTGCCTTTGACTTGTATGTTTGTCTATAGTAGGTGATCTGTCGCTTCACCTTTCCAATCTTTCATATCTCACCTGCAGCACGTTCGCTTGCGTTTAGGGGGACACAATTCTAGTTATCGCTGTGCTGTGGGGATCAAAAATTACTGTTTCCCTGCACTGGTCTGTTCTTCAGAGCTTTTAATGGGGAAAACGCTGTAAGGATCACAACGGTGATCCCCCCTCCCCCCTGCTGCCCCCTTGCCTTTTTTTGAAGTTTTGAAGAAAGTAAAATATATATATATTTCACACCGTTTTAACTGTCCCTTTGCTATACAGAAAACGTGTCATTACTTACTTAATTTTCAATTCATGACAATTATTAACTCAATAAATAGTAAAACCCCACTACTTTCATGATTTTTACTACATAGAGGTTTTGCTACTATCCAGGTGTGAATTATGAAATTCTATTTTTGGATCTAAATGAAGAAAATTATCCAAATGGGGTTTCACCTTGCTTTTGAAGTGGAATTCTATGCTTTCGTGTTAAAAAAATACTCAGCAGTAAATACAGATGATGTACCTATTTGTGCCTAACTAACAAACCAGACTTCCCAATCCTTTTTCTTTAGTCACTACCTTGGCAAAAAGAATAGATTTTCATATTATGTGAGAATTTAAAATATCTTCCAGTACCTGCAGAGGAAACTGCTCTGAATACAAGGAGCTAACTTAAAGTGTTATGAAGCAGAGAAGCCCATATAAACCACACATTTTTTCCCCAAGGCCAGAGACCCCACTTTGTCCTGTGGTAATTATATAGAATGGTCTGGAAAAACGCTCTTAGTATCTGAGTTTAGATCAGTTATAAATGCACTCTAACATTACTAAACTTAAAAAAAAAAAAAAAGAGGCCCAGAAAT